GGCGACAGCGGGACACGAAGGGAATGCGTATGGCAGCGGGGACACGAAAGGAAATCCGTATGGGGCCACGAAGAGCGCGAACGAGCGGGGGCCACGAAGGGCAGAACATTCAGGGCCACAGAAGGCAACGATGGGGCCACTGATGGTAGCGACGGGGCCACATAGGAAACCACACACGGCGACAGCGGGGCCACGAAGGGCATGCACATGGGGCGACGACGGGCGCGCACAAGCGGGGGCCACGAAGGGTATGCGTATATTGGGCCGCGGAGGGCAAAAACGGGGCCACTGGGGGCAGCAGCGGGGCCACGAAGGGCAGCAACGGGGCCACGAAGGGCGACAGCGGGGCCATACATATATGGGGCCACGAAGGGCAGCGAGGGGGCCACGAAGGGCTGCAACGGGGCCAAGAAGGGCAGCGAGGGGGCCACAAAGGGCTGCCACGGGGCCGCGAAGGGCTGCAACGGGGCCACGAACGGCAGCGAGGGGGCCTCGAAGGGATGCAGCGGGGCCACACAGGGCAGCGAGGGGCGACGAAGGGCTGCAACGGGGCCGCGAAGGGCTGCAACGGGGCCACGAGCGGCTGCAACGGAGCCACACAGGGCAGCGAGGGGCGACGAAGGGCTGCAAAGGGGCCGCGAAGGGCTGCAACGGGGCCACGAACGGCTGCAACGGGGCCAAGAAGGGCAGCGAGATCCCGATTCCTAGGTAATCTGTGAGTCCTGAGCGTGAGCGCGAATCCTGGGTGCCTGGGTGTCGGTAGCGCGGCGCTTGAGTAAATTGCAAGAAATTCCTACGCAAGGGCACTATTGTTTAGTAAATTGCAAGCAGCTCTCCAGCGAGAGCGCGACTCCAGGGCGCCGGGAGAACGATTCTTGAATAAATTGTGAGGAAGTCCCAAGCGAGAGCGCGATTCCTGAATCAAATGCCAGGAAGTCTCGATGAGAGCGGGGGTCCTGGCTAAATTGTGAGGAGGTCTCAGTCGGGAGCCGTTGTTGTTCTAACCCGGGGGCCACGGGCGCAGTTTGAGCATTATGTTTTTCTTTGTCAAGAAACAGGGTGCCAGCGTCGAGGGGCACACTTTGATTGAGAAGAAACAATATGCACCGTTGAGAGTTCAACAGCCATAAGTTTAAGCATGCTCGCTCCTATCTGCTCGCGTGCCATTCAACACGTACACCCCAAACCCCCAGTACCCGCCTTTTTCGTCTTCGATCGTACCCCCTTGGGGGCATATCGTTCGTACCTGCCCCGCGCAAGTAGCACAGCCCCTCCAAACAGGGGAAGGAAGGACGGGTGGAAAAGGGGCAGGGATAATGATGGAGCACGAAAGAAATTAGCAGGAACGGGGCTAGGAGCAAAAACGCATGGCAGAACCAGACGGGCAGATCGTGCCGGCAGACCCCAGCGGGCGGGTCGGGAATGCGCGTCCAGGCGGCCAGGTCGAGTCCGCGGGTCGCTGCAACGCGAATCTTGCATAAGACGCGGGAAAGTCTCGAGCGGCAGCGGGATTCCAAATGAATCGTTAGAACAGCTAAAGCGAAAACGTGATTCCTGAGTGTCGAGGGCGCGGTTTCTGAAAACATTGCGACGTAGTCCCGCTCGACAGCGCGATCTTGTAAACTTGTGCATTCATGTTCAGCGACAGCGTGATTTCGGAATGCATTGTGAAGAAGTGTCAGGCGTTTACCGTTGATGTAGTAGTTCGGGTGACAGTTGGGTTTTGTTGTTCTGGTCTGGTGAAGAGCAAGGTGTACCCCCCCGGGGGTATTTTCCATACCAGCATCAAAAACAACATCAACAACACATCCACCACCACCAACAACAGCATTAATGGCACTAGTAATGATAAGCAGTACAAGAGCGACAGCAGCAAACACACCAACACATACAACAACAACAACAACAACAACAACAACAATCATTGTAAGACTGTTCGCTCCCATCTGTTCATTTGCCAACCAATACGTATATCCCAAGCCCTCGGTACCCGCCCTTGTCGTCTTCGATCGTACCCCCGTGGGGGTCGACGTGTACCTCTTCTGCTGCGCGCAAGCAGCGCAGTCCCTAAAACAAGGGAGAAGGAGGGCGGGTGGAAGGGGGAAGGAGAATAATGGAGCATGAGAGAAATTAGCAAGAGGGAGGCAAGGAACAGAAAACAAGTGGTATAACCAGACGGGCAAATCGAGCGGGCAGGCCCATCGCGGGCAGGTTGGGAAGGCGGGCCCACGCGACCGGGTCAAGCAGGCGGGTTGTTGAAACCTGGGTCCTTCATAAATCGCGTGGAAGTTTCGAGCGATAGCACGAGTCCAAAGGTCATCGTTGGATAGCCCAAGGCGAGAGCATGATTCTTGGGCGCCGCAGGCGCATCGTCGGAATAAATCGCGAGGAGGTCCCACGCGGGAGCGCGATTCGTGCATACATTGTGAGGAAGTCCCGCACAGGAGCGCGATTCTTCAATACATTGCGAGGAGGTATCAGGCGGGAACCGTTGTTGTTGTAGTTCGGGGCCAACAACGCAGTTTGAGGAGGAATCTTTTCCCTGATAACGAACAGGGTGCGAGCCCCAGCAGTGGCAGCTCAATGGGGCGAACATATGGTACCGGAGGGGGAATTAACAGACATCCGATGATATTCCAACAGCAACAGCAACAACTGTCATGTCAACACTGTCCGCTCTTATCTGCTCGAGTATTATTCAACGTGTACTTCCCGAGCCCTCGGTACCCGCCCTCTTCGTCTTCGATCGTGCCCCTCTGGGGTGTATATCTTTCTTCCCTGCAGGCCGGGCCCCGAAACGCGGCGGGGCGGCCGCGGACCGTCGGCCTGGCCAGCAGCAGCGCTGATCGGCGGCAACCCGACTTCAAGAGGGAGGACCGACCACGACGACGACGACGAGCAGCGAAAGCGAAAGCGGGAGCGAGAGCGAGAGCGACAGCGGGGCCACGAAGGGCAGGAAGGGGCCACGAAGGGCGACAGTGGGGCCATGAAACGCATGCGTATGGGGCGCGGACGAGTGGGGGCCAGGAGGGCCAGATAATGCGGGGCCACAGAGGGCAACGACGGGGCCACTGAAGGTAGCAGCGGGGCCGCGCAGGGCAGCGAGGGGGCCACAATGGGCGACAGCGGGGCCACGAAGGGCATGCATGTGGGGCCACGACGGGCGCGAGGGAACGGGGGCAACGAAACGCATGCGTATATTGTGCCGCAGAGGGCGACGACGGGGTCACTGAGGGCAGCAGCGGGGCCGCGAATGGAAATGAGGGGTCGCGAAGGGAGGCGGCGGGGCCACAAAGCGCATGCATATGGGTCCACGACGGGCGCCCCGAAAGGCATAATTGTATGGGGATACGAAAGGCAGCGAAAGGGCCGCGAAGGGCTGTAACGGGGCCGCGAAGGGCAGCGAGGGGGGCACGAATGGCTGCAAGGTGGCCACGAAGGGCAGCGAGGGGGCCACGAAGAGCTGCAACACGGCCACGACTGGCAGCGAGGGGGCCGCGAGGGGCTGCAACGGGGCCACGAAGGGCAGCGAGGGGGCCACGAAGGGCTGCAACGGTGACGCGAATGGCAGCGAGGGGGCCACGAAGGGTTGCAACGGGGCCACGAAGGACAGCGACGGGGCCATGAATGGTTTCAACGGCGCCACGAAGGGCAGCGAGAAGGCCGCGGAAGGCTGCAACGGGGCCACGAAGGGCAGGAAGGGGCCACGAAGGGCTGCCACGGGGCCACGAAGGGCAGCGAGGAGGCCACGAAGGGATGCAACGGGGCCACGACGGGTTGCGAGGGGGCCACGAAGGGCTGCAACGGGGCCACGAAGGGCATCGAGGGGGCCACGACGGGCTGCAACAGGGCCGCGAACGGCAGCGAGGCGGCCACGAAGGGCTGCACATGGGCCACACAGGGCAGCGAGGGGGCCACGAAAGGCTGCAACGGGCCCACGAAGGGCAGCGAGGGGGCCTCGAAGGGCTGCAGCGGGGCCGCACATGGCAGCGAGGGGCGACGAAGGGCTGCAACACGGCCACGGAGGGCATCGATGGGGGCCATGAAGGGCTGTTACGGGTCCACGGAGGGCAGCGAGGGGGCCACGAAGGGCTGCAACGGTTCCATGAAGGGCTGCGACGGGGCCACGAAGGGCTGCAACGGGGTCACTAAGTGCAGCGATATCCCGATACCTAAGTAAGCTGCGAGGGGGTCCTAAGCGTGAGCGCGACTCCTGGGTGCCTGATTGCGGAGCGCGGAAGTTGAGTAAATTGCGGGGAGCTCCAGTGCAAGAGCGCGAATATAAGGTAATTTGCAAGAAAGTTTTCAGCGAGAGCGCGACTCCAGAGCGCAGAGAAAACGATTCTTGCAAATTTCAAGGAAGTCCCGGGCGAGAGCGCGACACCTGAGTAAAATGCGAGGAAGTCGCAGGCGGAAGCGGGGGTCCTGGCTAAAACGTGGGGAAGTCTCAAGCAGGAGCCGTTGTTGTTGTAACCCGGGGGCCAACAACACAGTCTGACCCCGGTGCCTTTCCTGTAGAAAACAGGGTGCGAGCCCACGGATTCACTGGGATTGGAAATGCGCAATGGTCACCGGAGGGGGGGATCAACAGTTATTGTGTTATTGTTTAGTAGTGATAGTTCAGCACCATCAACAGCAACAACAACAACAATCCGCACCGCGAAATCCCATTTCAGCCACGCACCCAAGGACAGTGAATCACCGGTCGGCCCCCCTCACTCTGATTGAATACAACGTTTGGCAATTTAGTACGCTTGAGAAACAGCACAAGGGAAAAATCCCGACACGTTCGGGCCTGGATCTGGCGAGGCAGAGTAGCCATCAGGACTCGTGTTGAGTAATTCTGGATGGGGGCGAGCGAGGGAAGAAGGGACGACGGCAGTGAGACACGAGAAGGCGAGGAGGACGGGGAGTGGGCGGGAGCAAGGCGAGGGGCAAGAGGAGCAACCGCAGGGAACACGACGCCGACGCGACGCCGAGACGGCGAGGACGCCGCGCAGGCGCCCCGCGTGGCCAGCGCCGGAGGGGCCGCCAGCGGGGCCCCTGCGGGCCGCGGCGCTCTGCGAGGACGCCGCGTCAGGCCTTCCCCGCGGGTCACCGGAGGGTCAGCGGCCGGCGGCGACGGGCGGAAGCGGTCTCGGCGGTGGCGGCGGGCGGCGGCCGCGGCGGCCCGCGGGCGGACGGCCCGCGGGCGACGGCGGCGGGCTGCGGCGGGCGGCGGCGACGGCGGACGGTGGCGGTGGATGCGGCGGCGGCCACGGCGGCGGCCGTGGCGGACGGACGGAACG